CTGAAGCTGGGGCTAACAACAGGAGCTCACCCCACTCCCTGAATTCGAACTGGTGACCTTTCAGTCAGCAAGTTCAGCAGCTCAGCGGTTTAACCCACTGTGTCACCGAGGGCTCCAGGTTGGAATCAAAATGTTATTATTAACCCCCTAGAGGTGCTTCTTCACAACCAAGGCCCCTTCCACACAGCTGCATAAAATCCACATTGAACCGAATTATATGGCAGCGTGGACTCAGATAATCCAGTTCAAATCTGATATTGTGGATTATCTGCCTTGATATTCTGGGTTATATGGCTGTGTGGAAGGGCCCCAAGTGGATCTGACATATCACCACTCACATCCCTGGGATCTTTTAAAATAAAGATGGCATATTATTGGTTGCTAAATTCCTACAAATTGGACCAAATGGAGCCAGCAAGCAGCAAGTACCTCTCTTTCCTTTTCTCTCACATAAAGAAAGGGAAGCATTAACCACCACCTTAACCCACTCAGCCAATCCCCCTCTGGCTTCTAAAGGAGGCCAGAGGGGGATTGGCTGAGTGGGTTAAGGTGGTGGTTAATGCTTCCCTTCGGGAAGGCAAGATTCCACCGAGCTTAAAACAAGCTATAATAAAACCGCTGTTGAAGAAACCATCACTGGACCCCACTAAATTCGACAACTATCGGCCAGTTTCCAATCTCCCCTTCTTGGGCAAAGTCTTGGAACGTGTGGTGGCCTCACAACTCCAGGTATTCTTGGTAGACACGGATTATCTAGACCCGGCACAGTCTGGCTTTAGGCCGGGACATGGTACCGAGACAGCCTTGGTCGCCTTAGTGGATGATCTGCGCCGGGAGCTCGACAGGGGGAGTGTGTCCCTGTTGGTGCTGCTGGACCTCTCAGCGGCCTTCGATACCGTCGACCACGGTATCCTTCTGGGACGCCTCGCGGGGATGGGTCTTGGAGGTACTGTTTTGCAGTGGCTCCGGTCATTCCTGGAGGGTCGATCTCAGAAGGTGTTGTTGGGGGACACCTGTTCAACCCCACAACCATTGTCTTGTGGGGTTCCTCAGGGCTCAATATTGTCTCCCATGTTGTTTAACATCTACATGAAGCCGCTGGGGAGATCATCCGGAGTTTCGGGGTACGGTGTCATCTGTACGCGGATGATGTCCAACTCTGTCACTCCTTTCCACCTGCTACTAAGGAGGCTGTCCAGGTCCTGAACCGGTGCTTGGCCGCTGTGACGGTCTGGATGAGGGCGAACAAATTGAAATTGAATCCAGACAAGACAGAGGTACTCCTGGTCAGTCGCAAGGCCGAACAGGGCATAGGGTTACAGCCTGTGTTGGATGGGGCCGCACTCCCCCTGAAGATGCAGGTTCGCAGCTTGGGTGTGACCCTGGACTCATCGCTGAGCCTGGAACCCCAGGTTTCGGCGGTGACCAGGGGAGCATTTGCACAGCTAAAGCTTGTGCGCCAGCTGAGCCCGTACCTTGGGAAGTCTGACTTGGCCACGGTAGTCCACTCTGGTTACATCCCGTTTAGACTACTGCAACGCTCTCTACGTGGGGTTGCCTTTGAAGACAGCTCGGAAGCTCCAACTAGTCCAACGCTCGGCAGCCATGATTTTAACAGGAGCGGAGCGCAGGGAGCATACAACCCCCCTGTTGCGCAAACTCCACTGGCTACCGATCTGCTACCGGGCTGAATTCAAAGTGCTGGCGTTGGCCTTTAAAGCCCTAAACGGTTCCGGCCCAAGCTACCTATCTGACCGCATCTCTGCCTATGAACCCACCAGGAGTTTGAGATCTTCCGGGGAGACCCTGCTCTCGATCCCGCCTGCTTCTCAAGCTCGGCTGGCGGGGACGAGAGATAGGGCCTTCTCGGTGGTGGCTCCTCGGCTGTGGAACGCCCTTCCTACGGACATTAGACTAGCACCATCTCTAATGGTATTCCGCAAAAAGGTGAAGACCTGGATGTTTGTGCAGGCGTTTGAGTAATTTAGTACAATCTGGTAATGGAACATAGGAATGGAACAATGGACGACGAATCTGGACTACGCTTGGATGATGAGAAGATTGGGTACGGTTGTTTTTTGTAATAATTGTGCATTGTAATTGCTTATTGGTAATTTATGGATAATGTGTTAAGTCAATTGTTATATGTTGTATGGAACCACTGCTGTTTCTACTGTTTGTGAACCGCTGTGAGTCGCCTTCGGGCTTGAGATACAGCGGTATATAAGCAAAGTAAATAAATAATAAATAATAAATAATAATAATGCCTTTCTTTCTATCATCCTACTCTCCACCCACATGCTAACAGATCCATGCAGTGCATTTGGAAAAATGGGGTGTACTCTCCTTCCTCATACACAGATCAGTATCAGTTTGAGTGGGTATGCATGTGTGGATCAGTCTGAGTGTATGTGCATGTGTGCATCTATCTATCGGTTTGTTGTGGTTATTATTATTTGAAAGATGAGTCCACAGCAAACAAGATCACTCTGCTGGCTGTTGTATTGGATCACATGCCGGACACTTCCCAAGTGTCTAGGACTGTGTGATGTATCAGCAAATAATGCGTGCAGATCCCAGTAGGGTGGCCTTTCCAGCTGGCAGATGGTAATCTTGTCAATGCCGATGATGTTCAAGTGCAGGCCAAGGTCTTTAGGCACTGCACCTAGTGTGCTGATCACCACTGGGACCACCTTGACTGGCTTTGCAGTTTGATCTTTAAAGCCTCATATTGTGTCAGCTTTTCCAGTTGTTTCTCTTCAATCCTGCTGTCGCCTGGGATTGCAACATCGACAATCCACACTCTGATTATTATTATTATTATCATTATTATTATTATTATTAATACCCCATTTTCCCTCTCCATAAGGAAACTCAATCTGTTAGGGCTCAATTCCACCAAAAATTCGCAACCTTCAGCATTAAACTCCTAGAGCTGCTTCTTCACAACCAAGGGCCCTTCCACGCAGCCTTATATCGCAGAATATCAAGGCAGAAAATCCCACAATATCTGCTTTGAACTGGGTTATCCGAGTCCACACTCAGATAATGTGGGATTTCCTGCCTTGATATTCTGCGATATAGGGTTGTGTGGAAGGGCCCCCAGTGGGCCTGACACATCACCACTCACATCTTTGGAATGTCATATCACTGGAAGTAACAATACAACCTGTCCTGGCACAGCTAAAACTCTGCTCAAATCTTATCTGGAAGGGAAATCACTTCCAACTTACTTGCCTTTCATTATACGAAACTGCACTTTATTATTTGATTTACAAAGGTCCCTTTCCACACAGCTGAATAAAATCCCACATTATCTGCTTTGCACTGGATTATATGACAGTGTGGGCTCAGATAACCCAGTTCAAGGCAGATATTGTGGGATTTTCTGCCTTGATATTCTGGGATAAAGGGCTGTGTGGAAGGGCCTCCAGTGGGCCTGACACATCACCACTCACATCTTTGGAATCTTTAAAAATAAACATGTCATTTCACTGGAAGTAACATATACATCCCGTCCTGGCGCAGCTAAAACTCTGCCCAAATATTATTGGGAAGGGAATTTACTTACCTGTCTTTGATCACTCCAAATCCCACTTCCCTCTTTTGTTTGCTAAGCGCCAATGAGTTGGAACAAATGGTGCCGGCAAAGAGTAGGCAATAGGCATCTCTCTTTTTTCTATTGCCTTTCATCCTACCATGCTACTCCTCACCATGTGCTCACAGAACCATGCAGCCTGTTTGGAAAGGTGGGTGTGTTCTCTTCCTTCATAGACAGATTTGAGTGTGGAAGGTTAAGTATGCACCTATCTAGTATGTACGAATGGGAATAAATAGCAGTGTGTGTGAGAGAAGGGAAGTTGAGTTGCTGTGACTTTTCTGGGCTGTACGGCCATGTTCCAGAAGCATTCCCTCCTGACATTTCGCCCACATCGATGGCAGGTAACCTCAGAGGTTGTGAGGTCTTTTGTCAAAGGCTTTCATGGCCGGAATCACTGGGTTGCTGTAAGTTCTTTCAAGCTGTATGGCCATGTTCCAGAAACATTCTCTCCTGATGTTTCACCCACATTGTTGGCAAGCATCCTTAGAAGTTGTGAGGTCAGTTGTCGAAGGCTTTCATTGCCAGAATCACTGGGTTGATGTAAGTTTTCCGGGCTGTATGGCCATATTCCAGAAGCATGCTGTCCTGACTTTTCACCCACATCAATGGCAGTCATCCTCAGAAGTTGTGAGGTCTGTTGTCGAAGGCTTTAATGGCCGGAATCACTGGGTTGTTGTAAGTTTTTTTCCCAGATGTATGGTCATGTTCCAGAAGCATGCTCTCCTGACGTTTCGCCTGCATCTATGGCAGAGGCTGTGAGGTCTGTGTATTCTTGAAGGCTTTCATGGCCGGAATCACTGGGTTGTTGTAGGTTTTTTCAGACTATATGGCCATGTTCTAGAGGCATTCTCTCCTAACGTTTCACCTGCATCTATGGCAAGCATCCTCAGAGGTAGTGAGGTCACCTTGCCATAGATGCAGGCGAAATGTCAGGAGAGAATGCCTCTAAAACATGGCCATATAGCCTGAAAAACCTACAACGCAGTTGTGAGGTCTGTTGGGAGGTTCCTTCCAACTTACCTGTGTCTTCCATCACTCTATCCACTCTATCCTCCTTTTTGGTCGCTAAGCTCCTACAAGTTGGACCCAATGGAGCCAGCAAAGAGTAGGCGGCACCTCTCTCTTCTTTCCTCCTATATTATGCTTTTCTTTCTCCCATTTTTTTTGGCAGACTTTGGAAAGTCGGGTGCTTTCCTTACAGAAAAGAAATGTGGGGGAATAAATAGACGCATGTTCCTGTATGTATCTATCTGTCAACCTCTCTCTACACAAATCTGAGTGTATGGGAATGAATAGTGTATGTCTCTCTGTCTATGCATCCATCCATGTCTGAATCCGCCCCTTTCCTGGCTGATTTGCTCCTCGTGCCGCAGAGTTCACCCTCGTGGAAAAGACTTACATGGAAAGTCCATGAAGGAGGGAGGGCTCGGCTTGTCCGGCTCTGCAGTCCTTCAAGGGGTCGGACACCTGGGCGTTGGGAGGCGTTGACTCCAAAAGCTCCAGCGGCGTCGGGATAATGCTCCTGCTGCTCCTGTCTCGGCAAAAGCCGCAAAGCCGCCCGAGAAAGAGGCAGCCAGCCAGAGCTCCCCGGCTTCAGCGTGCCTTAAGTAGGTCAGAGCCAGGGTGCGCATGCGCGCTGTCCAGCCAAAGCTAGTGCTGCTGCTGCAGAAAGAAGCAATACTGAGTAAGCTCAGCTGTCCTCTGCCCTCGTTGCTTGTCAGCCTTCCCTTGAAAGTCACCCAGAGCGAGGAAGAGAGCTTTGGAAACCCTCTCCTGCTCCTCCTCCTCCCACACTGCACACTGTGGGCAGAAGCAACAGGGAACAGATGTCCCCTTAGCAACATGAAGGACGCCATGCACACTTGGGGCTCATCTACACTGTAGAACAGGCATGAGCAAGCTTGGGCCCTCCACGTGTTTTGGACTTCAACTCCCACAATTCCTTTTTTTTTTACAAATGATTTTTTTATTTTCTTGATTGCATTATCTTAAAAGGAAATGAAAGAAAAAGATAGAATCGAAATTTTGTTGTTCATTCGTTCAGTCGTCTCCGACTCTTTGTGACCTCATGGACCAGCCCACGCCAGAGCTCCCTGTCGGCCGTCACCACCCCCAGCTCCTTCAAGGTCAGTCCAGTCACTTCAAGGATGCCATTCATCCATCTTGCCCTTGGTCGGCCCCTCTTCCTTTTTTCCACTTTCCCCAGCATAATTGTCTTCTCTAGGCTTTGCTGTCTCCTCATGATGTGGCCAAAGTACTTCAACTTTGTCTCTAGTATCCTTCCCCCCAATGAGCAGTTGGGCTTTATTTCCTGGAGGATGGACTGGTTGGATCTTCTCGCAGTCCAAGGCACTCTCAGAACTTTCCTCCAACACCACAGTTCAAAAGCATCAATCTTCCTTCGCTCAGCCTTCCCTAAGGTCCAGCTCTCACATCCATAGGTGACTACAGGGAATACCATGGCTTTGACTATGCGGATCTTTGTTGCCAGTGTGATGTCTCTACTCTTAACTATTTTATTTTAACTATACTAAATCCCCATGCTAAGTCTATGAGAAGCAAAAATTAAGAGTCCCTCCAGAACTGCAAGCACTTTGTTGAGCAAGTATTGACAATTTATTCACACTGTCATTAGTTGCAGCAATAGCCGATGTAGTGAAGCAACCAAGTTGGGTGTGTGTGTGTTGAATGCTCTCATTAAGGAGGCCAGACTTGGTGGAGGTGGTTGAAAGGGGCGGAGCTGCAGGCTATTGAAGGCTGCTCTGCCCCCTTGCTTCAGCATGAGCTAGGAGGCAGATTTCAACTCCCCCCCCTGAAAATTTCAACTCCTCCTGAATTTTTTTTCTGGCTACGGCCCTGCCTACAATCAATGAGCATTCTGTACTCCACCAATGATGGAATTGAACCAAACGTGGCATACAGGACTCCCATAACCAACAGAAAACAGTAGAAGGGTTTGGTGGGCATCAGGCCCGTAGCCAGGATTTTGATTTGGGGGGGCTGAGTTTGATTCGGGGGTGGGTGGGTGAGGATCTACCCTAGCAAACCTTTTGTATTATTATCCCAATACCCCATGCATATGGAATATATTGAGTTTGGTGATCAGATCATGATATGAATAAACCTAAGAGTTTAAATCAGGGGTCCTCAATCTTTTTAAACAGAGGGCCAGGTTACAGTCCCTCAAATTGTTGGAGGGCCGGATTATAATTTGAAAAAAACTGAATTAATTCCTATGCACATTGCACATATCTTATTTGTAGTGCAAAAGACATTTAAAAACAATACAATAATTAAAATGAAGAACAATTTTAACAAATATAAACTTATTATTATTTCAGTGGGAAGTGTGAGCCTACTTTTGGCTGATGAGATAGGATTGTTGTTGTTGTTGTGTGCTTTCAAGTTGTTTCAGATTAAGGTTGACCCTGAGCAAGGGCCAGGTAAATGACCTTGGAGGGCCGCATCCGCCCCCCAGGCCTTAGTTTGAGGACCCTGGTTTAAATAATGTACCAGTAAGGCCTTCTTGTGGACCACCCTGGGAATTTCATGGGGGGGTGTGAAGCCCCCCAAGCCTCCCCCTAGTTACATTCCTGGTGGGCATTGACCTTGAGTTTGGGAGTTGTTCACCTACATCCATAGAGCACTGTGGACTCAAACAACTATGTATCTGGAGCAAACTTGGCACAAATATTCCATATGCCCAAATATGAGCACAGATGGAGTTTTGGGGAAATAGACCTTGACATTTGGGATTTGTAGTTACTGGGATTTATAGTTTACCTACAATCAAAGAGCATTCTGAACCCCACAAATGACAGAATTGAGACAAACTTCCCAAACAGAACCCCCATGACCAACAGAAAATACTTAAGGCCATCCAATCCAACTTGCTTCACCAGGGCAAGAAAACGTAATCAAAGCCCTCCTGACAAAGAGCCATCCAGCCATAGATATAGATAGATAGTTATGATCCACACACACACAGATATAGTATCATAGATTTGAAAGGAACCACTAAAGAAGTACAATTATATGTTGCACATTCCAGAGTAGGCAAACCAGACACTCTCCACATCAACACTGACAAAGAAACAACAAGGAATACTATTTACCTACAAGCATAAAGAAATTGCATATGTTAGAAACCAACACTTTCTCATTACTTTATTTTCCATATCACCAGACTGGGCCACAGCAATGCATGGCAGGGGACAACTAGTAATCTATATAAATAAAAATGTAATGTTCATTTGAAATCCACAAGCATGTGGACAATTTCAACAGAAAGGAAGAAACCATGAAAATGAACAAAATCTGGTTACCAGTACTAAAAAAACTCTAAAATCAGAACACCAAATAAAGACAGAGGAGCTCCAGACAAGAAACAATCAGGGACAGCTAATCACCTCTCAACAAAGGATTCCCCCAGACAGTAAGAAGCTACACCTTGAAAACAGACCACTAAATGCTACTCAAGGTGGCTAATTGAAACATTCACATACCTCCAACAGACAAGAGTTCTTTCTCCCACCCTGGACATTCCACAGAAATATATAAACCCCTCTTTCCTAGTTTCCAACAGACCTCACAACCTCTGGGGATGCCTGTCATAGATGCAGGTGAAACGTCAGGAGAGAATGCTTCTGGAACATGGCCATAAAGCCCAAAAAATGTCGAGCAACCCAGTGATTCAAGCCATGAAAGCCTTCAACAACAAATTAGGGATAGTGTGGGAGTCTAGCGCAAGAGAGTCAAAGTGATAAAAATAAATAATAATGGTTAAATTTATTTTTATTGGGGAATGACGTAGACATAGACATAATGTAAACATAGACAGATGTTGACAATACAGTAAGAAATATATACCCACATATATATGCGTAACCCATACACACCTATATACACATATACACCTGCAAAGCCCTACCCTTAAGGGGGAAAAAAAGGGGGGGGGGGAACCCACACCCATTCACCCACACAATGTTTTCGTATTGCTCAAGAGTAAAAAGTTATTGACATGACTGCGATAACTGGTTTCTGGTTTCTGAAACCAAAAATAAATAATAATTGTCCTGGATTCTTGGAGAACATTTCACCAACTTCTGTGGAGTGAAATACTATCGGTACATCGTTTTATACCTATTTTCTTTTAGATCATATGAATAGGTACATTTTAATTTTTGGTTCCATATTTTTCCCAGAATCACATTGGGCTTTTTTTTGCCACTTGTGTCATTATCTTTTTTTCCCCCTGCCTGAGATGCATGTGTGTCTTGACATGAGCTGTTTGGGAAGCTTGGCTCAACCAGAGAAGGTCATATGTTTTTCAGACATTTCACTACAGTGCAATGCCATTTCCATCACCATTCTCCTCTTATTCCAAAAGCTAATCTGCTCCCATTAATGTGTGTCTGTGTGGCTGCCAATGAGAGAGTAAGGAGCTAGTGCTGCTACATCTCCCTCCAGACTATCTCTCCACCCTATGTTTAGGTTTGAACAGAAATAGGATTATTAAAAATTTATGCCACAGGTGACCTTAAAAGATTTTGTAGTTCCTCCTCTGTCAGTAATGGTGCTTTACTCCTGTGATGGCTGTGGTGTAATGAAAGAATGAAGATTGCAGCTAGTTTCACATCAATAAGTCCTCAAGGTGCTTATAGCACTAAGTGGCTGCTTTGCTCTAAGCATTGCTCATTCCGGCTGCAAAAGAGCTCTGCAATATCTAGACAAAGAAAAACAAAACAAATCAAAAACACTTCCACAAATAACAGAGAGAAGAAAGAGAACGATAAAGAAAGCGGTGAGAGTAATGGTGGTATTGCCGATTTAACAACAACACTTTGAAGCTGGATAAAATGAATTATTGGTAGTCTCCAAGTTATGGACAAGATAGGTTCTGTAGGTTTGTTTTTAAGATGAATTTCTATGTAAATCGAAACATTTTAAGGGTAACACTGATGCCGAATATGACCCCCCTCAATAAAAGATAGTTTATAATCAGGGAATTCATAGTTTATTTATTTATTTACAGCATCTACCCTGCCCTTCTTGGGGTGGGGGGGACTCAGAGCGGCCAAGTTTTGCCAAGGATGCCAGGCTGATACTAGACAAAAACATATCCCACCAAAATACCCACATATAGTTTTTTCACATCTCGAGCCCTGTTCTGTTCCTCTTTCTTTTCTGTCTTTTCCATTCCATAACTACTAGCCCATAGCTCCCATGTGGCAGCCTAAGACCTTTTCCCATGGTCCCATGGCTCCACATGGCAACAATGTTCATGTTCCTTCTTCTTCTGTGTGTCGCCTCGGCATGGAGTCTGCTGACCCCAGGAAGCCCCCTCCTGTGTTACCCCTGTGACCAGGCCAGCATCAGGCCATTCTGGTTGTTTTTATGAATTGGACTCCTTTTACCTGAATGAACCTCCTGTTTTATAGATGGACTTTGGGTGCTCATATGGACCCTATTCCAACTTTTATGAACTCCGGGTGACCAGGACAAATCTTTCCCCAATTCTGTATGTTCATTCTTCCCATATGGACCATGTATATGCCCCTCATTCCCATTTATGATATGTATGTATGTATTGAGCAGAGTGACCTCCTCATGAACTATGCCCAGCAACTCAAGGCCCAGGTATTGCAAGACTTCCTGGACCAATAATCTCTAAACAAAGGACGTAGCAAAGAACCCATCAGCATGGACAAAAGGCAAATAGCACCTTTTCCTGGACTTTGAAGGGCCTTTGGCCAGACCACCTAGGGCAGGGGTCCTCAAACTTTTTAAACAGAGGGCCAGGTCACAGTCCCTCAAACTGTTGGAGGGCCGGATTATAATTTGGAAAAAGCATAAATGAATTCCTATGCACACTACACATATCTTATTTGTAGTGCAAAAGGAAAAAAAACACTTTAAAACAATACAATAATTTAAATGAAGAACAATTTTAACAAATATAAACTTATTAGTACTTCAATGGGAAGTGTGGGCTTGCTTTTGGCTGATGAGATAGGATTGTTGTTGTTATTGTGTGCTTTCAAGTCATTTCAGACTTAGGTTGACCCTGAGTGAGGGCCGGGTAAATGACCTTGGAGGGCCATATCCGGCCCCCGGGCCTTAATTTGAGGACCCCTGACCTAGGGCATGGGGCTCATGGACATTTCAACTACTTAACACAAAGGACACTTCCCCATCTGTGAGGAAAAGGGGATTATCACTTCTTCTCCACCACTGTGCCATTCCCCCATCTCAGAGAAGAAATCCCAGATTCCATCAAGTCAATATGACAGGACTTTGTGATAATGGAACTGGCTCTTCGGGGCCAGACAGGAATGTTATTTCAAAATCTCGGGACAATAGCCAGGATTGAGGCTGGAAGGCTTAGACAATCGCCTTGGTCACTTATCATACAGCTGTGGAAAGGGCCATTCATAACCCATCATCATGACATTTTTTAATTGTTCCCCCTGTTGTCCGCCTCCCTTCTCATCATTGGCTGAGCGGTCGAAGCAGGGCCCTGGCTCTGATTGGACGAGCTGCCTTGGTCCCTGGCTGCTCCTCCAGGCTTGCTGGCATCACAGCCAATCACAGCAAAGCTGGCTCGGGGGGGGGGGGGGGGGCACAGGAAAATATGAATGGAAAACTATATATTCCGTTGTTTTTTTTTTTGCCCAAAAACATGGCAGTTTCTTCAGCAAATTAATGCAGCCATTAACCCGGTGGTGCAGTGGGTTAAACCCCTGTGCCGGCAGGACTGAAGACCGACAGGTCTCAGGTTTGAATCCGGGGAGAGGCGGATGAGCTCCCTCTATCGACTCCAGCTCCTCATGCGGGAACATGAGAGAAGCCTCCCACAAGGATGATAAAAACATCAAATCATCCAGGCGTCCCCTGGGCAACCCCCTTGCAGACGGCCAATTCTCTCACACCAGAAGTGACTTGCAATTTCTCAGGTCACTCCTGACACGACAAAAAAAAAATGCAGCCATCATCCTTTTCCAGTTAGAATAGAAATAAAACCTCAGTGGCTTCTGCTTCAACTTGGTGAGATTTATCCACAGCCATTCTAAACTGCCCGACAACAATGCCAGCCACATCTGTCTGTCTATCTATCTTTGGATAGCACAGGAAGGGTTAACACTCCTGTGGTATTTGTTTTGCCCCTATTCATAAGATTTCATCTCACTTCCTGTTCCTCTGATAATTGGATTTAGAAAAAAATGACTTGTTGTGGAAACAAGGATTGGCGAGAAAGCTTCAGCGAAGACACATTTTCCCCATGATAATTCTTCCAGGAATTAATTTCTCTTCCAACGAGTAGATTTCTCTCACTTCCTGTTGGCTCATTCCTGTTCTTAACTATGAATTATTTGTAAGTCGGATGTTTGTAAATCAGGAACTGCCTGTAATATTAAAACCTTAAAACTCTTATCTGTCACTGCGATCTCAAGCAAATTTATTTGAACAATCAATTCACAGTGTGTTCTGTGTTGTGGGATCCATTTTAAGGTTGGCTGCACAATTCCAGCCGTTGGGCTCAATTGCTCAGCTTCCACCTTTAACTTTTAAGATCCACTCCTGATTCTGGTTCTTGGCCTCAAGGTGATCATGGGACTGAGCAAATGTGTGTGTGGGTTCAATATGGTAAAGAATGGCATGTCTTCTATATTAATTATTAAATTAAACCCCCCCAGAAAGAAATATAGAATTTAAAAGCAGGAAAGATTTATTATATGCCCCCCTATATCCAACAGGTGACAAACCACAGGACTTCACATGGATATGTGGAACCACATAACCTCTACTACTATACTACTACCTATGACCCTGGAGCCCCCAGTGGCACAGTGGGTTAAAGCCCTGTGTCGGCAGGACTGAAGACCGACAGGTCGCAGGTTCGAATCCGGGAGAGGCGGATGAGCTCCCTCTATCAGCTCCAGCTCCTCATGTGGGGACATGAGAGAAGCCTCCCACAAGGATGATAAAAACATCAAATCATCCAGGCATCCCCTGGGCAACGTCCTTGCAGACGGCCAATTCTCTCACAACAGGAGCAACTCCTGACACGACAAAAAAAAAAAACCCAAAAAATCCAGCTGAATAAAATCCCACATATTCTGCTTTGAACTGGAATATATGGCAGTGTGGACTCAGGCAGCTCAAAGCAGGTATTGTGGGATTTTCTGCCTTGATATTCTGGTTTATATGGCTGTGTGGAAGGGCCCTAAGCAATATTACACCTGTTGTCCAGGTGTTTCTTTAAAACCAATATTATACCTAGGATCCAAATGTTTTCTAAAAGCATAATAGCTGATTTTAGAAACAAGCAATTACATTGTTAGGTGTAATTACTGACCTCCTATATAATCCATAATGTCCCATCTTATTTAATTTAATTTAAACTGTGTGTATTTATGTATATCAGCTCTACCTAATTTCTGAAAATCTAAATAATGAAAAATGTGTGACCAGAATATAATCTTTAGATAATGTTATGTGAATAATTGCATTTCTTTAAAAAACATCTAAAGTAAACAACACTTTCACTTTGTGTTACCATGGAATCACACAAGCTAGATTTTTAAACAGGTTTTTAAATAACATCCATTTTTCATATTTTGAAGTTATACAACTAGCTAAAATTGGCTCAGCCAATTTTAGTCAGAGAACATTTTTATGAAACAAGCCTGCCATCTTCAGGTAATGCTGTGGTAGTGGTGATATTATTATCTCATTTTCATGGTTTTCATGTTGATATGTGCCTTCAAGTTATTCCAATTTCTGGAAACCCAAAGACAAATCAATCATCAGGTTTTCTTCGCAAGACTTTTTCAGTGTTGATTTCCTCTTGCTTCCCCCTAAGGTCCCATTCAGAGAGGCCCAAAAAGCAGGTCCTGTCTCAGTTTTTATCAGAGGTGTCCCAATGACACTTCCAGTAAAAATGAATTAATTTGGAACAAACCAAGATTTCCTTGGTTTGTTCAGAATTATTTCATTTTTACTGGAATTTCAATTGGGATGGCATGTAGCCACCCCATCCCACAGGAAAGCCTGGTTTGGGTAAGAAATAAAAAATAAATTAATATTAGCCACATTAATTTATTTTTATAAAAGCATCTATTTAATTTTTAAAATTATGAGATATGGTGAAAGAAAGATATGATCAATTATTTATTGCACAGCATTTCCAATAAAATTTTGACACAGTTCAATGTCAATAAGTGAAAATTTGGCTAAGTGTCATGCCGTTTCTTCCCTTATGAGTTCAGCCAATCTCTGGAAACCCTAAATAAAAATAACAAGAACAACAATGTATGAATGCAATTAACAAAACTCTATATTATTTAACAAATCATGATACAACCACATGGCTATTGCTTTCCACTTTCATTTTTTGTTTCTTTTTAAAAGAATTACATGGATAAAAAGCTACTGGTTGCTGCCACATAAAGTCTTATTGTATTTTACACTAGCCGTCCCCTGCCATGCATTGCTGTGGCCCAGTCTGTGGATATGTGTGTTGTGTGTGTATATGTGTGTTTGAATGGTTTTGTGCATGCGTTGTAATGTATTTTTGTTTTTTGGCTTTTAAAATCACATCTGCTGTGTTTTTCAGTGTTTTTATGAGTGATGGTCACTTGTTGGCCTGATATGTGTATTGTGTCCAAATTTGGTGTCAATTCGTCAGGTGGTTTTTGAGTTATGTCAATCCCACAAACGAACATTACATTTTTGTTTATATAGATGGCACAACCACATTGCAATTCTATTTGCACTTATTGTACATACATTAGACTTGGTGGCCTTTCATTTGAGTGGACACTAACACAGAATTAGCCATGCACACAGGGAAATACTATATAGGTTTACTAAGCCATAAGGTCTATTAGGTCTAGTGAATTTAAGTTTGTTGCAGTTGTTTGCAGCCTATTGATGTCAGTTGGCTTAAGCATGTTCAATTCTGAGTTGAATAATGTTATGGTCCACATTTTAACCTTGGCGGGGAAGAACCTATGAACCTCCTGATTTGGTGAACAACTCCCATCATACTTAACCATTGTCCATAGCTTTGAAGTAGTTAATTACAGATAGCTACTTAGCTGTTATTTGCAATCAGACACAACCAAATGACGTAACAAGTGTTAACTAATTTTAAAATCTGATTGTTAATGGTGTCTCATTATATGGTAAGAGAGAAGTAGTTCACTTTGTGGGCAAAGAAAAGGGTCAATGGATTTTGAATCACAAGTCAGCAGCTGGTATTTGGATATATTTTTTCAAAGTAACTAGAAGTAACTATTTTAGCGACAGTTCTTTTGAAAAGCAGATATATGTATATTATAGCCCACCTTTCCCCCAGTATTGGGCTATTGTCAGAGCCGTAGCCAGAAAAAAAAATCAGGAAAGGGGGAGGTTGAAACTTTTTAAAGTGATTCATGAAGAGTATTTCAATAACACAAAATAATTTAAATTATATGATTCATCCTATATTTTATATAGATTTGATTAAATCAAATTTCTATTTCAGTTACAAGATTTCAAGTCTTAAAATAACTGAAAATGACTGTTAATTGATAATTTATAGTTACAAAAAAATACTACAACTTCTGTTGGAAACACTTGAAAACTGTGCCAATACATTTTGACAGAAATCAGGCTCTATCGATAAACTTTGGTGGACACTCAATAATGCAAGTCTGAGTGGGAGCACTGGAATGAGCACATTTCAGTTTCCAGGTAATTCCATTAGTAGGCGTGATAAGAAGTTTGAACCTCAAATGCATGGGACTAAAATTACCCGACACCTTTAGAATTCCAATGAGATTAAACATAGTTATTCAACATCACCTTATTCAGAAAATGACAAATATGGATAAATACATAGATAAGGTAGCATGCTTGGCCTAACCCTCTGGATGCTCTGGGAGATATAATATGAGGGTCCTTCTCATATTGTATCTCCCTGGTTCCTGAAATTGCTCAACATAGCTCTCTGTGTAGGAGAGGGAGCAAGGAAGGAAAGGCCTAATCACCCATACCTCCTACCTCACGCTGAAGCAGGGGGTGCAGCAGCCTTCATAGCCTGCAGTTCTGTCCTTGACAATTGCCCTCACCAAGTCTGGTCTCCTTCATGAGGGCCTTCAAATATCCCCCTCCACATTCTTTAGGCTTTGCCTGCCAGTTATGGGTGGGCCAACTTGGTTGCTTCCACTAAATTGGCTATTGCTGCAAGTAGTGACAATGTGAATAAATGATCAAAATTTGCTTGCGATAGTGCTTGCAGTTCTGGAGGGGCTCGTTGAAGTTTTGCTTCTCATAGACCTAACATGAGGATTTGGTTAATTAGTTAAAATTTATGAGTAAATCAGATTTTTAAAACTTGAAACATTTGGAGGGGGGTGTTGAACCCCTAATCTCCCCCCTTGGCTATAGTCCTAGCTATTGTTGTTATATTATTAGTATTAGTATTTATATCATGCTTCTTCTCTCTGAGAGTTGTAACTAAACTGAGTGGTGGCACTACATCACAAGAACTTTTAAAGGAACCAATTACTTAAAAATAATTTCATAGTTCTGATTAGCCCGAGACTCTTGATGGATGGAGCATAACTACTTCTGGAGATCCAGTTTCCCCACTGGTGATATATTCTCTATCAAGTCCTGCTCAAGCCTCCCCCCCTTCCCTTTGTTATCAATTAGACATTTGATTTGACTTACCTGGTCCATTTGAGCTGGAGAAGCATAGGAAAAGCTAGCTCTGACAAAGGGGCTAGGTTCTGAGGCATCAATCATAAAATCCCTCCCAGGAAGTAAAGCCACCTAAAACAGTATTTTATTTGTATTACTCATGTGCAAGGAAATGATAGCCATTTATCAAGAATAAATAAAACATTTATAGATGTATCCTTATGTCCTGGGCTTGTACAATAAAACGAATGATCAAGGGTCTGGAGAACAAGCCCTATGAGGAGCAGCTTAAAGAGCTGGGCATGTTTAGCCTGAAGAAGAGAAGGCTGAGAGAAGATATGATAGCCATGTATAAATATGTGAGAAGAAGTCACAGGGAGGAGGGAGCAAGCTTGTTTTGTGCTTCCCTGGAGACTAGGACGCGGAACAATGGCTTCAAACTACAAGAGAGGAGATTCCATCTGAACATGAGGAAGAACTTCCTGACTGTGAGAGCCGTTCAGCAGTGGAACTCTCTGCCCTGGAGTGTGGTGGAGGCTCCTTCTTTGGAAGCTTTTAAACAGAGGCTGGATGGCCATCTGTCAGGGGTGCTTTGAATGCAATATTCCTGCTTCTTGGCAGGGGGTTGGACTGGATGGCCCGTGAGGTCTCTTCCAACTCTATGATTCTGTGATTCTATGAATGGAAGGAGGGAAGCAGTACTAATACTGTACAGGCAAGGCATGCTATTACAGAGCAATAGATTTTCCCTACCCCTCTGTCGATTGCCTTTTCCATGATCATCTGGTGTGTGTCAGAAATTCCCTTAATTTTAATCCATAAAAATAGTCCAGCTTTAGGAGTGTACCAGTCCGCTAAACCTATGAAAGAAAGGAGAACATTGGAATGAAAGGAGTTGATCAAGGATTTCCTGATCTTAATGTATTTAGCAACAAAGACATTGGTGTGAAACAACCATTCAGCCTTCTTTCTGAATGCTCTTTGGATTAAGCATTCAGAAAGTTTCTTGTATCAGGCTTAAGACTCCCACAGTAGCAATTAATAGTTGCCTGCCACAAGTAATAAATAAGTATATAATTGCCATGTTACCATGTTATTGCTCTCTGTTTGCTACTGAGTACTTCTCTTATAAATTTACAGTTTACAAAGTGATCAGACAACTCTCTAATGTGGCACTGATCATTTATTAGGCTCAGGCTGGGAAATTAAATGGATATGTTCAGTATCATTTACAAATAACTGATTGAGCTATTTATCTACTGTTTAATGGCAGTGCTCATTCTGAATGTGGAGACCATGGCAGGATGATGTGGAATAGCTATGCAATAGGAAGTGAAGGCAAAGGACCATGTTATAAAGCAGGAATAAGAAGCCATACTGTGGTCCAGAGACTTTTTTTTACAGCATTTATATTCTGCCCTTCTCACCTCATAGAATACTCAGGGCAGATCACAGAACATACATATGCGGCAAACATTCAATGCTGTTTTATACACAACTAGACAGACAATTATACATAGATAAGAAGRATCTATACACCAGGATTGTGGTTCAACTGGCTGGGAGTCAGCAGCATTAAGATCACTACTGACCAAAAGGTCATGAGTTCGAAGCCAGCCCAGGTCGGAGTGAGCTTCTGACCATTTGTGTAGCTTGCTGTCGACCTTTGCAGCCTGAAAGACAGTTGCATCTGTCAAGTAGGAAATTGAGGCACTGCTTATACGAGGAGGTTAATTTAKCTAATTTACGGCACCATAAAATCTCCAGCAAGCAAGCAAAAGAATGAGGAAGTACTCCATCAGTGTCACAAATGGATGGTGAAGTGACAGTTCCCCTGGTGGCCAGAATACCCTCATGAAGCTAGAATGTTAAATATCCTCTATGTGTCTGTCTATATATGTTGTGTGTCTATGGCATTGAATGTTTGCCATGTATATGAACATGGTACTCTACCCTAAGTCCCCTACGGGGTGAGAAGGGCGGAATATAAATACTGTAAAGAAAATAAATAATAAATAAATATATCGGCTTTCCCCATCTTTCGTCATCTTGAAAGATGTTGTGCTTTATTCCAGCCACAGGGGGTGCTGTCACTCCATCTCCCTGCCGAAGAGCTAGTTTGTAACTTCCTCTTTTTGATTGAATTGCCAGCATCCCTTCTGGATGCCTCAGAATACCTCCCCTGCTTTTTTATGAGTGATACCTACTTATCTAATCACATGTTTGCTTTTGAACCGCTAGGTGGGCGGAAGCTGGGCTAAGGCCAGGAGCTCACCCTGACCTGGCTTCGAACTGGCAGTCTTTCGACTGACAAAATTGACTACAACTGGTGTTTAACCTGCTGTGCTAAAGCCGGCCCAGAGATGGATGTCTCAGCCTGTGACCTGCAACAAGATAGATGATGTAAACGGATATACTTTTGTAGGAGACTGATTTCACCTCTCCTACCCTTTTCCTACAAGGGGAAGATGTGAAATGGGCAAAACACTCTCAGAGAGTTCTGCAAGCGTTAACAGATTTGTGATTGGGATTCAGCCAGTGCTTGCAAGCCTGACTTGAGAGCATTTGACATAATGATGATGATGATGTTGATGATAATAATAATAATTTTATTTTTATACCCTGCCTCCACCCCTCCAAAGGGACTCGGGTGGCTTACATGTAGCCAAGCCCAATCAACACAGTTAAAATGTAACACATTAAAATGCATAACATCATACAAAAGTGTATCTAATATAATAATTTCCCTTCAGAGAGGTGGAGGCGGAGTATAAAAATAAAATTTTACTGACACAAAAAAACCATTATGTTTGTGATATGAAATCCAGCATATATATCTTGTTTGCTGTGACATACTGTGTTTTTGTGTCAGTAAAATTTTATTTTATACCCCACCTCCACCTCACCAAAGGGACTTGGGCGGCTTACATGCAGCCAAGCCCAATCAACAGAGTTAAAACATAACACATTAAAATGCATAACATCAATAAACACAGCATAAAAACAACATCATAACAGTATATAAAACAAGCATCAAAAATAGCAACCAATAATATAACTCAAATCTCATTATGGGTGGGCACAGCAATTTAGCGGATAGGGCTTGTCAGTTAAGTGCATAGGTCATATAGCAGCGGTACGGATAAGAGAAATATAAAAAGGGTCATTATACCTTTGGCATTACGCCTCTCGCCTCCCTTTAAACCAGTACTGGCCAATTACAGAGGGTTCAGGATAAGGGTCAATAGTTTGCAAACATCCCATTTCCACCCCTAAACTGAGTTAGTAAATAATTCCATTTTCCCCCAAATGCTTTAAAAGGAGCAGAGCTATCCAAGGTGCTGAACTGCATCTCCAAAATAGGTTCAATGTCTTGCATAGTTCCATTAAAATTCCATTAAAGTTCTCTCTGAAACTAAGAACAAACTGAACATGGAATATATTGCTAGGTATTTGAAGTCCCTAGTTACCAATATGCTTCTCCTTCTTACTCTTTTTTAAACATCTGTTTATTATAGGAGCTGGACTGTTTATGTTGCCTTGGAAGTTAAATTGGAATGTATCAATGTGTAGTGCAAAACAGCTTCAACTAAACAGGCTTTGCACTGTCGAGATTCAAAGTTAAGTCATATTTATTTCTGTTCCAGGCTCTTCTCAAACCTATATAGGGCCTTGGTGTATTTTGTTGTTGTTTTTTATATTGGTACATGGTTATATCTAGTTGTCCATGAGACTGAATTTACTGACCTGTTAGCCATTTGTTTGCTGCAGCAAGCATGAGGTCTCTCTGGCTTTTGTAGAATTCCGACACTCTGGAAGCAAAGAGTCAATTTAAAGGGGAGGTCCTGAGTCAGCTGTAATATTCCCTCACACACCTACACTGCTTGCTACACCCAATGCTAATAGAACCAAAAAATGATACTTCATCTTTATACCTAAGATAGTTTAGATACAAGTGGAATTCGTAAGAACTGGAAGAAATGGCTAACCAAACTTCTTCTATTGTTCAATTTAATTATTTTGCCAACCACATTGATGCCAATGAAGGAGTTCTTAAGGAAGGATCTTTTTGAGCTGTGATACAAATCAAATTAGGCTTGCTTTGGGCATGGCGTTGATGCTTCAAATGATGTTTCCCTTCCCCACTCTGCAATAAACCTCAAGGCTACCTAAAAATGGGAATTGCATACCCCTTCAAAGAATATTAGAAGCAGCTTCTGGAAGGAGAGTCCATTTTCTCCCGCTTCCTTTGGATCCTGCCATCCCACTAACAGAAATTCAGCACTGAATCCTACCATATATAGTAAAATAATAATAATAATAATAATAATAATAATAACAACAACAATTTATTTATTTATTTATTTATATCAGACACAGGCAAACATTCAATTAAACACACAAACACAGACAAAGGCAAAGGCTCTGGGGGAGATGCTCATTTCCATTTCCAAGCTGAGGAGCCTATGTTGTCCATAGACACCTCCTGGCCAAGTGGCCAGCATGACTACATAGAGCAGTGGTTCTCAGCCTGGGGTCCTCAGATGTTTTTGGCCTTCAACTCCCACAAATCCTAACAGCTGGTAAACTGGCTGGGATTTCTGGGAGTTGTAGGCCAAAAACATCTGGGGACCCCAGGTTGAGAACCACTGACATGGAGCATCTTTCAGCCTTTCCCGCTGAGGCAGTACCTATTAATCTACTCACATTTGCATGTTTTCAAACTGCTAGGTTGGCAGGAGCTAGAGCTAACAGTGGGAGCTCACCCCATCCTGCGGATTCAAACTTCCAACCTTCAGGTCAGCAGTTCAGTAGCACAAGCCACATTTTGGGGAGGTAAAGCAGGGTATAATAATAATAATAATAATAATAATAATAATATTAATATTAATAATAATAATTTATTTATACCCCGCTTTACCTCCTCAAAGGGGACTTAAAGTGGCTTGACATAAAAGCATTAGTATACAATTTAGAATATACAAAATATATATACATTTAAACAGAATTAAACACAAATAGCATTTATCAAAACATTTATCAAAACATATTCAAAGTTTAAAACCACAGATTATTGCTTTCTTCCTCATTAGTTCTTTTCAGTTCTTTCAGTGTAATTTGAAACTCAAGTTATGTCTCCATCAGCATTCAGAGTTGATAAATCCACAATTAGTTAAAAACAAAAGAGATAATAGAACAATTGGAAAGATGTCTTCTCTACTCTTTTATTGGGAGATACTGTTGACATTGTCCGCTGCTTACTGAATGTTTGAAAGTGGGTTTTTTTGTGTGTGTGCTTTTCCTCACTTAATTGTCACATTAGAGCTGGCTGGGCCTACCTCCCTTCTACCTCCTGTCTTGTCAAAGGTAAGACAGTTTTAAAAAAAAGAAATATAAACAGTGCCAGCTGGATCTGGGACTTTCTCTTTCTTACTTCCAAGGAGACAGGAGGGAGAAGACCCAGCTGACTATATTTCCTCTTGTAAAACTGTCTTACTGCCATCAAGGCAGGAGGAAAAAGGAAGAGCCCTAGTCCAGCCTCCTCCTTGGAGTTATGATAGTTTAAAAAAATAAATACAAATGGAGCCATCTGGATCTTATCTCTCCTACCACTTTGGAAGTAAGAGAGGGAAAGCCTCAAACCCAGCTGGCTTTGCACAATGTTTTTCCTCACATATGGTCACATCCCCTTTTTCTGAAGAAAAAAAGGGATAAAAGGTGTGACTATTACATGGTGATGATGATGATGATGATGATAATACCCGTACCTGTTGACTTGTTGCAGAAATCCCTTATGTCCCCACTTCTTAAAAAGTTGCACTAAGAGGACCTGTTAGAGAAAGCAGGAGTACAGTCAAGTTGAAGACCTAACAAGAATCAGATTTCCAAGACTTGTAACTTTTAGATGAGTTATATTTGTTTAAGAGCCTAATCAAAGCACTATTTTGAATGAAACAGCAGAGTAGACTTCAGGCTTGCAGGATTTTTAAAAATCCTGGAACCTCAAGATCTACTAGTTAGAGCTCAGTGAAAAAGATTTTGTGCTTGCCATAGATTCATTCTGACATCAAGAATTTGCTTGCACACCAGAGATTAATGGTGCCCACAGTTCTTCCATACATAACCTCCCTCCATCACTCTCTTATGGTTTTTCCTAACCTGTTCTCCTTCCAGCACTATAACTTGTCAGCGGGAGTATCATTCTATTGTTGTTATCTTTATACAGCTAGGAATCTGAAATCCTGGATCTAGAAAATGCCAAGGAAATGCTGTATTTTGTCAGAGGTTGATCAATAGGGATATCTGTCCCATGAATACTGTATGAAAATTTACCAAGTAGAATATGGAAGGGTTTAAGGCATCTAAAATGGGAATGCTGTTTACAGCAGCAGTTCTGTTGTTTGTACTATAGTTCAGTTTCTACTATGGGGATATAATTCTGTCCCAGGATACCTTATAATGAAGTAAAGCCATTGATTTCCATAGAATTTGCTTTCAGATAGGTGTACTGAGACTTTTAGCTAAATCCTGCAAGTGCATATTTGGAAAGTGTTCACTAGGGTGTATTTTCATATAATTGCTTTCATGAATGGGATAATTTGTAATTTCACATTCGATTTAGTAACTCTAACATTTTTTATAATGGATCCATGAACAAATTTGCCAATGTTATTATTGCAAACAATTAAATTTGGACCATGTACCAGCATGGTGGGTTGAGTACTAGTATATGACTGGAGACCAAGGGCACTTCCACACAGCCATATAACCCAGAATATCAAGTCAGAAAATCCCACAATATCTGCTTTGAACTGGGTTATCAGTGTCCACATTGCCATATATTCATGTGGAATTAATAAAATGTGGGATTTTATTCAACTGTGCGGAAGGGGCCCAGTGTTCAAATCCCCACTTCCCCATGGAAACCTAATGGGCGACCTTGTGCAAGTTAAATTCTCTCAGCCTCAGAGGAAGCCAAAGCAAACTCTTTCTGAACAAAGCAGTGAAAACCCTTGATAGGCTTGCCTTAGACTGCCATAAATCAGAAACAACTTGAAGGTACACAACAAATTAATATAACTTGAGAGAACTGCAGTCCAATATATTACCAGTTCTCACCTGTGTAAAAGTGCTGGTCTGCATAGTTGAGGCTTCTATGTGTCGAACAATCCTGTCTATAAGAGGTTCAGGTCCTGTTAAAAAGCCAATCCTTAAACTGAAAGAAAGCAAAATAAACATGTATTCTGGCTTTGTTAGTTACAGAAAATATTATTACTTTGTGATCTGAAAAAATATTTTATTTGGATTATTATTTTTGTGTGATTTCTCAGCTGTTATTAATTATGAAAGCAGACTCGATAAACATGGACATTTGCAGGCTTTCTGTTGAGGTTTTTCCCCCTCCATATTTGGGTCTCAAAAATGCAGCTGTACAGCCATAGATTCAGCAGATCAATGTGTTCATGAAATGTTAGCAGCTGTAGAGCTTGTATCAGTGTGCTTTAGTTCTGAGAATCCTAGACTGGAACCTCCTAGAGCCAGGATTAAGTATCTCATTCTGTCTCCGTTTAACCTACCTCACAGGTTTGTTGTGATTTTATAGTAGACAGGAGGATAACCATGTATAACATATTGAACTTATTGGAGGAAAAGATAAACATGTAATACTATTATTAACTTAATGTGAAGTTAAGGCTCACAGAAAGTTCTTCAAAAAAGGTGCAATCTTTTGACTGGAGGTGGAGGAGAAATGATACTTACTATCATCTCCTCCTCCACTACCACCAACTTTTCCATGATCACTTCCTCCTCTTTCGTTTTTGGATTATGCGACTCTCAGCACTTCCTTAATATACCATAAGTATTGTTACATGGAACCTCCGCATTTAATCCATATTGTTACATGGAACCTCCATATTTAATCAGTTCTGTTATAGCATGTCCTACGTTGGTCTGATGGGTCTCCAGTTTTATTAACTTTTGTTTTATCCATCTGATTTGATAAATTGCCTGCTAAAAGGCTGCATTGTGAAGACTGTCACATCATGAAAAACTCCACAGTCACAGAGGAGAATCTAAATTTGTAATAAGACTTTCATATGTGTCTAAGTAGGCTAGAAATGTGTATTTTTCACAATTATATGTGTCAAAATACCATTTACTAGGCTAATTTAGCTGTTGGACATGCTGATGATTGTAGCTTAGTTTCTACTCACCCAGAAGAAATAATTTTGGAGAATGTATCACCTCTGATGACTCGGCCATCAACATCCATTGAAAGGAATGATGGTGCTTTTGTCTAGCAATAAAGAATATATTTTGTTATTAAGCCAAAAGTAGTTATTGATGGTCCTCTGTCAGCAACCAAATACTGACCCTTAGTTGGTGAATGACATTTGTGAAGTTGTGAAGTTGAGATAGACTAACTTGCTCCCATCCTCCAAAAAAGTATAGGAGAGAGGATTTCTTTTTGAGTTCATTTTTCTAGGTCTCATAGCTACTTGCCTCAGGAGAGACCATGAAGTGAGCTACATGAATAATCCAAAAATAGATCTAAAGGGACACTGAGCTGAGGTGAGTTCAACTCCTTGATGAACCATGAAGTTTATTATTATTTAGGTCACTCACACGATGGGTCCAACTTATGTGGCAATATTTAGGTTGAACAGCACAACCCAGAACTAGACTTGTCAGGGATGTCCTTATACTACAGGTCCAATAGGAGGAAACTCAATTGCTCTTAAGCCTGAATGTGTGGTGAGATTTACATCTAAAGATGAAAAAAGGTAAAAGTGAAAGCATATTTCCTTTCATCAACAAGGAAGCTGATATCAATAGGAATTAACATTAGTTCCTGGATTTGGTCTTACCTTCCCATACTGGACAAAATAATATGGATCATCTTCTATTATAAGAAAGTTGTATTCTTGAGCAAGCTAGAAAACATTTCCACCAAAAGACAAATAAATAAATAAATAAAATCAGTGCCTATGTCATCTCATGCTAAAACAATAGCAGTTCCATCAAAATGTTGGAAACCTTCACAGAATTTCCATTTTTCAACTTTAGGTAACATTAAAGTGCTCCAAGGCATGGTTTTTGTGCAACTCTACTTTAAGAACTATTATGTCATCTTCATAATCTAGCTTCCTACCTATTTCTTTTGCATTTTTCCTTACCACAAAAATCTGGTATGGAAAAGATAGGAGAGATGCAGAATGTGTCTGGATTATCAATTATCAGAATTCTTCATTTGGAAGAACACGTAGACCAGTTCCCAATGAAGAAATGTGGACATTTTGCTAGATTCTTCAACAGTTGAAAGGAGTTCTTCATCTATGTGCTTAGGTCAAATGCAGAAAATGTAGTGATTCCCTGTATGGAGACTTTCAGAAAAATCAGGTAGCAACTTTAATCCATTCTCACCTGAACTTGGGTGGATGTATCTATTAGCTTCTACCACATTCAGATTTGTGAAATCTCATATCAAATGAGAAGTTTTCTGGAAAGTTTGGTTAGCTCTTGAAATAGAAGTTCTGGTTATGGAAAAATCCCTTCCATTTGCTGCTATAATCATAGCGGTACATCTGCTAAAATGCTGGTCTAGATGCTCATCTAGGTTATCCTTGTGTCAGCTGATGGCTTCCATGTCAGTGAATCTATTCTAACCTTTTTGTCCAAATTTCAAAGAAACTATCCATGTTGCTAAATCTATTTTGAGAACAAAATCCAGCATCTTGCACAGCTCCTCTAATGTTCAGACAAAAAAAAAACTGAAGCAGGTTCACTATAACAATGACATGGAAGTAGACAGTCTCTACTGGGTTACTGAATGCCTTTATGCTTTTTGTTCTGCTTGTAAATTGCGACAGTAGTAGGGATTACCTGATAAATCTCCTTTTTGCGCTCTGCTGTCAAAGAGCTTCCAGAAGGATTGCCACCATTGGGAACAGTGTACAGAAATTTGGGGCGCTTGTTACTGAGCTTATGCGTGTTGTTGTCAGATTTCCACCGGGAAAGAATTTCTTTTAAAGCTTTTGGAATAATGCCATGCTCATCACTAGGGACTTTGATAATATTACATCCCAATGGGCGTAGCTGTTGATGAAAAGGAACAAGATATTACACATTACTGACTATCTAGTTAGCACAAGCTGTTCAAGCCGGATCTTTCCTTAGCAGGAACAAAATGTAAAATCATTCTTTCATTGTGCTCCTTAAGATTGCTCCCCAAAGGCAAAGGATTGTTCCTCAAAGGATCTTGGACAAATGGGACTAGGCACTTTATATGTTTTAATCTGTTTAATGTTTTTATGTATTTATTAACTAATTATTAACTATTTTAATGGAGGAGGTATGTTATTGTTTTTACTGTTGATTTTACCTGTATTGAATCATATCAGAGTTGTAAGCTTCCTTGAGTTCCCTGAGGGGGAGAAAGGCAAGGTATAAATGAAGTAAATAAATTAAATAAATGCAGAGCCCAGAGAAGCTACTATACTTCCTAGGACCTTGTCAGACATTCTTTGAGCTCTGTTTCCATGCACTTAGGAGATAAAGCCCCACATGACGTTAGGGCACTTCTGGTGGGAATTCGTTGGGCTACATTTCCTAAGCACATCTTCAGGAGTTGGATGTTGGTCCAGAGATTAGCAGCCAGTTACTAACTGGAGCGCAATTCAGGGAGAGAACCATTACCATGTTGCGGCAGCTCCACTGGCTGCCAGTCTGCTTCCGAGCTAAATACAAAATCCTGGTTCTTACCTTTAAAGCCCTAAATGGCCTAGGTCCAGACTATCTGACAAACTGCATTTCCCTCTACAGACCGACTCGGACACTGTGGTCATCGGAGGTAGTCCTCTTCTCAGTTCCACCCCCGTCCCAAGCATAGCTGGGGGGAATGAGAGAAAGGGCCTTTTCTGTGGCTGCCCACCACCTCTGGAACTCCCTTCCTAAGGAGTTAAAGATGGCCCCCTCCCTTCCGGCTTTCTAAAAACAGATGAAGACATACCTTTGCTCACTGGCTTAGGAGGAGGAGGAATCGTAGTTGGTAATACTACCATTATACCTCTGATTAATAGTTGCCATCCATATCTGTACCCTGCTCACCCCACCAGCTCAATAGATATCTTGAGCAATGATTGATCAATTTGCCCCAAAGAAATGGGAAATTATTGTTTCCATTTGATGTTTGATGTTTTGTCTTATGTCTGTTATAACAGGCGGTGCTTTTTATTTAATTTTAGTGTGTTAAGTTATAATTTGTATTTATATGTTGGGTTGTATAATTTTGTTAGTATGGGTGCATTGTTGTTGTATTCGGGCATTGAATGTTTGCCTTTTATGTTTGGAATCCGCCCTAAGTCCCTTTTGGGAGATAGAGCGAAATATAATTAATTAATTAATTAATTATTATGTTATCAGACTCCAAACAGGTTTCAGAGGGGAGAAAGCAGGGGAAAAGATTGGTAATTATGTGGGATGACTGGCCATTCCTCAAGATGGGGAAAGACAGGAGGGAAAGGATTTAGACCAGTGGTTCTCAACCCTAGATGTTTTGGCCTTCAACTCCCAGTTGAGAACCATTGGTGTAGATGGTTTCATCCATTTCCCCCTGCTTTCATCTCACTCCGTCTTCATCTGATAAAATCCCTAGAGTACCCAATGGAAGTGTTTTTTTGTGATAATTAAGGATGTGTAAGCCTCTTCCAGTTTGTCAAAAAGGGGCTGTGCAGAAGGCTGACAACAGAGGTAACTGTGTGTTCAGAGAACATAACTGGGAATCCCAGCTCCAAGCCTGTTCATGCCAGGCTTCATGGTATATATGTTGTGCTTTGCCCTGAGTACCCTGCAGGGTGAGAAGGGCGGAATATAAATGTTTCAAATAAATAATAAATAAATAAAGTTGTTTGGCCTGGCCTGTTTTTTGCAGTGAGGATGGAGAGAAAATTCTGTTTTCTGTGCAAAACAATAACATGTGAATTTTGCAAAGAATAAACCCTGAATTGCACATGACCTTCATGAACAGTATTTTGGGGGCATTCCCAAGAGTTCCAGTTTTATTCCTTGCAATAGACTTAGTGATGGGAGGCTTCAAACATCAAAAGCAGGACTGCATATGAAGGGCAGGAGTAGAACCCAATATTTGGAGCAGCTTGGTAAACTTGTAGCATTCAAAGCAAAGGCTCTTTTGAGGTTTATACTTATGCTCATCCGTTGGTAATTAATTCCTAATATCAACTCTTACAAGTACTGCTAGTGATCAAAGCACCCAAATTGTCTCATTTACACCATAACAGGATCTCAAAGGTGACTCACTGCTGCCATGGTCCCACTGAAGTTTGGTTCATCTAAAAGGATATTATCTCCAGGATTAATGAGCATATCATAAACCTATAATATAAAAAACAGATTAATAAAAAGCAGCATTGGCACAAGTTTATTTTTCAAACATCAGTACTGTATTAAAATCTAATAATTTTTGAACTATGATGTAACATTATTTTATGATGATGATGAAACAAGATTGCACTATGAGCTGTTTTTGTCTTCCACTGCTTGATACATGTAATTTTTTAGGACCATAGCTGGGGAGGTAAGGGTTCATTCTCTTCTTTCTATGGTTCTGAGTAGACTCTCTCATGTTTATTTTAGTAAAACAAAGCCCATAACAAAGAGCTCCATACTATGGATTGCATCCAAGCATGGATATGTGAAACTGGGCATTGGTTTCTCATCATTTCCATTCTTGGCAGCCCTTTAATTCCCTCCGTCATGCTGCATAAGAGAGTTGGGACCCCTTCTGAACTATGTAGGTTAAAAATAAGGAACCTCCTAAGTGTTGCTGGAGTCTCAATCAATCCCAGTCTGTCTGGTCAGTGGCCAAGTGGAAGTATAGTAAGGGGAATAACAGGCCATCGAAAGGCAACAAGTTTCTTACCATGGTGAAGGTAGGGTGTGGTGTGGTAAGACAGGAACCTAAATCCAGGTGGAGATAAAGTCCATATGTGATTGCTTCTATTTATATCAACCTGTGGACCGTGGCCCAGTAGTGGGCCATGAGAACGAAAATCTGGTCCGTGAGCCTCCTTCCTATTTATTTATTTTATTTTATTTATTTTCACTCCTTTCCACAGAGCTGACGAGCTCTGCCCCTTTTGGTACTAATGTTAGAGAGTGGTTCTTGGTCAAAGTGGCCCCTGGTCAAAGTGGGCCCTGGTTAAGTGGGCCCTGCTCAAAGTGGGCCTTAGTCAAGTGGGCCCTGCTAAAAAAAAAGGTTGGGAATCCCTGATTTATATGTACTTAAGTAGTACAATTAGATAACTGGAAGACTTTTGCTACTTCTACTGGTGGAAAGAGGGCAGAACTCCAGTCACAGGGCATTCTTACTGGGAGACAAAAGGAGCCTACAGAAAATTACAGATTGTAGAGGAAAGGGGAAATGGGTCAGCAGGAACACCTCTTCCCACTGGCTTCCACCAACAACAGCTACTTCTTGCAAAAAGACACACTGGATGCCATCCTGAAAGCAGAGTTATTTCTTAACAAATAATGCTGTGTTACAGAAGAAAGGAAAATATTTATCAGACTAAAACACATTCAATATCCACTGTGTTCATGACATATTGAACTCAACATCTTTCTGATTTAATTGCAATAAAGAGAAATCCAGAAAGTAGAATGATTTTGACCACTTGTGTAAAGAAAGTAAAAAGACCCATTGTCAAATCTGAATTGTGCATACTTTACTAAGTCCTTCCTGGCTGCCTGTAGTGATGCATATCCTCATTTTTCCCTTTTCAGGAGAATAATGTGCTGTTGGTGGGTTATGGAGTTTCATCTGCAGATCTTCTAACCACAATAGTAATTCATGAATTCTGGAAAAGAAGACTTTGATTTTAAGAATACTCAATATTTCAAACATATTAAACAACTTATTATTAACTGGATTTTTTAAAAGTGAGCTTGGCAGTAGGTAAAGTAACAGTAAAATGGGTGGGCCAGTGATAAGCCTTTGTTCTTTCACTATCTATCCGCCATTCATTTGTGTGCATTTATTTTCCCTCTGGGTTTTGTTGTTCAGTGTGAGGTGACACTCCTTTCCCTCAAGTGAAAAGATTCTACTTAATGGTCTTGTTTGCAGAACTTCACAACACCAGGTTTTAGATAAAACTAAAACTCAAGGTTGCAGAGTGTAATTGATTAACAATAGATTCAGTTCAGGAGCCCCAGTGATGCAATGGGTTAAACCTGTATGCTGGCAAGACCGCTGACTGAAAGGTTGGCGGTTTGAATCTAGGGAGCAGGGTGAGCTCCCATCTGTCAGCTCCAGCTTCTCATGCAGAGACATGAGAGAAGCTTCCCACAGAATGGTAAAACATCTGGGCATCCCCTAGGCAATGTCCTTGCAGATGACCAATTCTCTTATGGCAGAAGCTACTTGCAGTTTCTCAAGTCGCTCCTGACGCGTGCACATGCACACACACACACACACACACACACACAAGTTCAGAAAAAAGGGAAGAACTATTTTGCAGATCACCCAGCTCAGGTACAGAATTCATCACTGAAAAGTATTTTTTTCAGACAATCTATTTCTGAATACCAGATGTTGAGGTATAATAAATGTTGATGTCTACAGGCCTTGTTTGGAATCATCTGGTTATTGTGGAGGTCTGGATTAGACAGAGTCGTAGTCTAATAGGGCTCTTTAAGGAGACCTTAACTGACTCCTGGTAAATAAACTACCCAATTTAATAGGCTATTGGTTTTGCATTTTTGATCCTCCAGACGTTTTTGACGTCAACCCCTGAAATGCCTTACCTTTTCCCAGGCTAGCCAAAACTCAGTTTTGAAGTCAAAAACTTCTGAATAGCTATAAATTAATGATCACTGCTTCAGCCTCAGATTTTATTCTCCTAGGGCTAAGACAAGTTTTAAAAAGAAATGCTGATATTAAATACCCTTCTGCAGCACTGTACTGAAGAGCTTTCTTCATCAGTTCTTCTCCAATTTCAATGGTGGTTCCATCAGTAAGAGAGATACTTGCTGCTTTAAATGGGAAGTAGTCGGCATTTGGCATTCCCCCGGAAAGCATGATTGTAGAGGACATCTTCTTTGCCAGCTCGTCTATCATTCAAAAAAGTAAAAAGGAATTTGTTGTGGGATTTAGAAGCTCAAGATACAATGCATTCAGACAGAAAATGATACTACGATATGCCAAAATACCCAATGTGAAAGCAAAGGTACAATAGAATATTTTCATTATACCTGATGCATTAGTGTAAAGTATGAAATATAGGGAACAATAAACTTGATTATTTCCTTCTTGTGGGTTTTTTCGGGCTATATGGCCATGTTCTAGAGGCATTTCGCCTGACGTTTCGCCTGCATCTATGGCAAGCATCCTCAGAGGTGACCTCACCTCTGAGGATGCTTGCCATAGATGCAGGCGAAACGTCAGGAGAAATGCCTCTAGAACATGGCCATATAGCCCGAAAAAACCCACAAGAACTGAGTGATTCCAGCCATGAAAGCCTTCGACAATAACTTGATTATTTATTTATTTGCCACACTTGTGCCCTGCCATTCTCACCCTGAAGAGGACTCAGGGTGGCTTCACAAAGGCAAAATTCAATGTCGCACACACATATACATACCAATAAATAAACAACTGCATTAAAATCAACCCAATTAAAAACATAAACATTAGAACATTAAAACTTCAGTTAATAATCACAAAATCCCAATGATATTCGAGGGCCAATCGGTGTCATCATTCTGTTATTTGTAGACTCTTACTGCACTGCTTACTGACCAAAAGCTTGGCCCCCAGCTGTGGCTTTAAATAGCTGTGGGTCTCTAGCTGAAAATTATTAAATACAATATGATGGCTGAAGAATGCTTAATTAGGGATGATGGTGGTACCACTGGAAACTGCAACCTCTGTAGAGGAGAGTAATCTTCACAAAAATTAGGAATATAAACTTGGAGACTTTCCCCACTAAGTTTGGTTCAGCCTGTCTACGAGAAGTTTATTTTCTATCATGATATATAGACAAAGCATCCCAAGAGAGAAAGGGTAATAGAAAAAGAAAGGTGTTCACTAGAATACATAATGCAGACACACAGCTTTTTAATATTTGTATGGTGAAATGCAATTTTACTATGGAACTGTAGACTATAGGTTCTATTCTGCCTTGGTTAGACCACATCTAGAATACTGTGTCCAATTCTGGGCACCCCAATTTAAAGGAGATGTTAACAAGCTGGAATGTGTCCCGAGGAGGGCAACGGAAATTATCAAGGATCTGGAGAACAAACCCTATGAGGAGTGGCTTAAAGAGCTGGGCATGTTTAGCCTGAAGAAGAGAAGGCTTAGAGGAGACATGATGATGGCCATGCATAAATATGGGAGGAACTCATATGGAGGAGGGAGCAACCTTGTTTTCTGCTGCCCTGGAGAATAGGATGCGAAACAATGACTTCAAGAAAGAGATTCCATCGGGACACTAGGAAGAACTTCCTGTGAGAGCCATTCAGCAGTGGAACTCTCTGCCCCGGAGTGTGGTGGAGGCTCCTTCTTTGGAGGCTTTTAAACAGAGGCTGGATGGCCATCTGTCAGGGGTGCTTTGAATGCAATTTTCCTGCTTCTTGGCAGGGGCTGGAAGGCCCATGAGGTCTTTTCCAACTCTATGATTCTAGGGAATAAATAATAATAATAAACTTTATTTGTACCCCACCACCATCTCCCATAGGGACAATTAACCTGATGCCCCAATTAATGTAATTTTATAAGTATTTATTTGTATTTTTGAAATTTATCAGTAGCTTTTCCCACCCTTGTCTTATACTCGAGTCAATACGTTTTCCCAGTTTTTTGTGGCAAAATAAGGTGCCTCGGCTTATATTCGGGTTGGCTTATACTTGAGTATATACGGTACATACAAACAAGTCAGACTCATTGCTCATCTAACCTAGTATTAAGTCTGCTTTGAGGTAGAGCTCTAGTCAAAGATTTTTGCATTGTAGTGTGCCCTTCTCATTTGATTTTTGTGGATTTGATTATTCCTGAAGTTGATTAAGATGTTCTCTACTGGAATGTCTAGGTCTTCCAGTTTGATTCTATGGTATGCTTCTGCTTGAAGTTGATTTTAGAGCTATGGTGGAGGACCTAGTGATGCCTAGGACAGGCGTTTTCTCAGGTAAAAAAATATCAATTTGTGGCTCCTCACTTTTGTGAGGGCCCTGTGCCTGTAACCTCAGTAAATGGGAAGCCTGGCCATAAATGATGAGATCCTCTTTTAAAAACTGGAAATATCAGGGATCATCCCAGAGCTATGTTGTTTCACATGGTACTACTCTCAAACTCTGCTGGATGCACAATTTTTAACAAAGCGGACAGCACATAGAATGCATCAAAGAAAGGTATTGATGGATGGACATATGCATCTACCCACTGGTCATTCTTGCAGGGTTTGTTCTCCTTGCTGCGCTCACAGCAGTCACGAAATGAGAATAATCCATTTTGATGAGGCAAGCACAAGCCAAATTCCTCAGACTTTGCCAGAAAACTGTAGGAAAGATTGGGAAAGAAATAACATTGTATTTCTAAGACATATCTGACATTTTTTTTTCTCAATGCAGGTAATATTTCAAAACTTCATTATGATCCACTCATATAGTCTGCATTACAACTCAGTAGTCAGCAAATATTATCTTTCCTAATACAACATCCATGGCAGAAGAAAATTTCCAAGTATTCTTTGGAAAAGGGAAACTTTTTTCTAATTACAGGCAGTCCCCAAGTTATGAATAAGATAGGCTTTGTAGGTTTGTTCTAAAGTTGAATTTGTTTGTAAGTTGGAACAAGTACATTTTTTCAATGTAACATCTATCTATCATCTATCTATCTATCTATCTATCTATCTATCTATCTATCTATCATCTATCTATCTATCATCTATCTATCTATCATTTTGGATAACATAGGGAAAAGTAAACAACCTTGTGGTGTTTGTTTTGCTGCCTGTACCCCTGTTCAAAAGATTTTGTCTCACATTCTGTCCCTGTGATTATTGAATTTTGAAAAATGTGGCTTGTTGTGGAAACAAGGATTGCTGATAAAGCTTCAGTGAAGACACCTTTTCCCCATGGTCACTCTTTAGGAGTGAATTTCCCTTCTGAGGGGTAGACTTCTATTACTTCCCGTTGTCTCACCCACGTTCTTAACTGTTATTTATTTTATTTCGTATCAAGAGCATTGCATAAATTAGTATAAAAACTAATAAAAATAAAAGGAGAGCAGGCGGCTAAATATCCTTTGACCAAAAACGGGCAACAGCAATGGCATTGTCTGTAGCCTCCAACAACTCTTCCTCTGTACATGAGGCAGGGCACAGTAGACAAGCATACAGATGTGGAGTTGTCTGTTCTGCTCCACAGTCACACAAGGTGTGGGATTCTTTTAGATAGTGCCATTTTGCCGGGTTGTCTTTTGATCTGCTCACTCTACTTCTGAGTCTGTTCGGGGATTTCCAAGTTGCCCATTCTTGGTTTGCTCCTGGAGGAAGACCCTCATGGGGGGTCATCCAGTTGGGATTTCCTGGTTTAGCTGCCCAGAGGTATACTCTTGCTGTTGCTGGGGGACGCCAAGAGAAGTGACAGTTCTCATAAAACTTTTCCTTGATTTGAGTCTAAAAAGCATTGCTTCTTAACTGTGAGTCATTTGTAAGTCAGATATTTGCAACTTGGGGACTTTCTGTATATAAATGTGGGGGGAAAGCCCTTTATTAATTGAATCAAATATAGATAAACAGCCAGGATGAGGAAAACTAAGACAACAACAACAACAACAATAATAATGCTTAAAGACCTTGGCCTGCATTTAAACACAATTGGCGCCAAAAAAATTACTATCTGCCAGCTGCAAAAGGCCACCTTACTGGGATCCGCACACATTATTCGCCGATACACCACACAGTCCTAGACACTTGGGAAGTGTCCAACATGTGATCCAATACAACTGCCAGCACGGTGATCTTGTTTGCTGTGGACTCATCTAGCTATGTTTCAAATAATAATAATAATAATAATAATAATAATAATAATAATAATAATATGTCATTTATATCCCACCCTATCTCACCAAGGGGACTTAGGATGGTTTACAACAGATATTGGCAAACATTCAATGCCTTGAGAAGCTGAACAAAGACAAAAACAACAAACCCTTTAAATCCCAAAAACAAATCCACATCTATATAAAAATAATAACACATTATACTGTAATATTACTAGTATAAATTGTACTATATTATTAGCATAAAATGCTACCAGTATATCAGAGCTGAGCAAATATTTTGGCGCTTGTAAAATGTACAAATGGTTATGAAAACAGTTGTAATTAGGCTGGATCTACATTGCCAAATAACTAATCTTGACAAATATGTTTTTCTCTTCACAAATGTCTTTCACAATATATAGTTATAGGACTTTTAACTGCCATTGCTAATTCTTATGGAATTCTGGAATTTATAGTTTGGTGAGGCACTAGAGAATTCTAAATCTCCTCCTAACAAGTCCCAGAATTGAATTGGATGGCATTGTGACAGTTAAAGGAGTCACAGATGACTTCCTATAATTAAATAATTAGAAACCTTAAGCTTACCTGTGAGAAGATAAATGAAAAATTCAGCTGGTAATTTCAGTTCTGTATTCTTTACAAAACCATATTTGCTTGCTTATTACACAAGAGCAACTAGAATCTCCGATGTTCTCTTGTACGTTCTTTATTTTTTAACACTGATTAATTTATTACCGCTCGATTAGCCTGCTGATTTTATTCTCCACTGATCAACCATACAACGTGTTTGGTATAAACAGTAATAGCTAACATTTTTTCTCAGAGTACTTTGTAGTGCTTTTAAAAATTGACAATTCTAAGAAACTGGTTTTGAAGATCAGAGTCCAGTGTCTGAAATGATCCAAATTTATTCGTGGCCTTCACACATCTGTGATCACACCCAGTTTGGCTTTTACTGCCTTAGTAGTAACACGACATTCAAGTTAAGAGGTTCATAATCAAAGTCAGGATCATGCTATCAAATCACAGATAAAATGAAATGCTTCATTATGCTTAACAATGACACCAAATGAAGAGATTTGAATCTCTTGGCCCTGTCTAGCCATTAAATTATACATCAATACAGTCCCACAGTTTGATAATCTAGTCAAGCACTATACCATCCTTATAACTGAATCTCTGGTTAAACTAAGTTTGTTTTTGAAAAGTTGGCAATATATATCTATTATTTATCTTTGAGACTCACCCAAGTATTGTGTTTCATCACATAATAATTGCCATTGCATAGTAGGCACAAACCCCTTTTTGGGGTTCTAGTTTTGATATTTAAGAATTCCTCACGTTACAGCCAAACCCTTAGTTCACAGGCATGACTATTTTGTGAAGGGACAACATCCGCCTGATCGCCTATCCCCTCCAAGCTTCAGGGCTCAAAGGGGAGAGGCACATAGGCAGATGATCCTTCACCTACCTGTACGTCTGCTGGCAAGAGCTGCGGAGCCTCCCTTGACTGGTGGCAACCAAGGGAAGCCTTGGAAGTCTTGTTGGCAGGTGCACAAGTGGCTCTGCAGTTATGAGGTTTCCCTAGGCTGGCAGTAGAGGGAAGCTGTGGAGTGGCTTTGGAGCGGCAAAAGAAATTTCCTCATGTAATAGTCGCACCTCCTTTTTTTGAAAAAAAAAGTTTAACATAATGAACATGACAATAGTAGTCAGAGGCATAGCCATGGTAGCCTATATCAGTATACAAGGGATCTTGTAGCAACCTCTCAGTCTCAGAGGTCCTAGAGGATCCTTTTGTATAATGAGCAGAATCTAAACCGGTGGTTCCCAAACTTTGTGCTGTGGCCCACAGGTGGGCCATGAGACCTAAAATAAGGTCCGCAAGTCTAGATTACTAAATATGGTTTTCTGTGGGCAAACAGATGGCGACTACTGAATGACATGTGTTCTGTATCAGAAACTACAGATGGTGTGGTTTATCCAATGATTATTTCTGAATCAGCTCACCACATAACCAAACTGAATCTAAATTTGACCAAAAACTTATTCGTAACCCTGTTGGAGTGGTCCCTGGTCCAAGTGATCTCTGGTGAAGTGATCCCTGGTCCAAGTTGTCCCTGCTCAAAAAAAAAAAGTTTGGGAACCACTGATCTAAACGAAGGGAAGGGTGCCTCAATTCTGTAAAAACGAATGAGGAACCAGAAGAGGATTCTATATTACAAATAGTATTTCCCTGTATCAGGGAAATCTGTTGAATTAGTTTTCTGAACTTGTTTGTGAAATTTGCATTGTCATCCATACCCTGCTGAAAGTAGTTATTCATTAGCTTTGCTCCATTGGGGTTAGCTGAGGCAATGGTGGCTGGTGGTTTCGATGTTAGTGTTTTCCGCTCCAGTTTGATGGCTATGCTTTAATAGAGCTATTCAGAGTGCTGAAAAATATCCCTCCAAATAGTTCTGATGAAAATCTCAAGTAGATTCACCATCCTATTGATTCATTTATTTCATGTCAAAAGCATTGTATAAGTAATTATAAAACAGATACAATAGAGCAGGGGTCCTCAAACTAAGGCCCGGGGGCCGAATGCGGCCCTCCAAGGTCATATACCCGGCCCTTGCTCAGAGTCAACCTAAGTATGAAACTACTTGAACGCACACAATAACAACAACAATCCTATCTCATCAGCCAAAAAGCAGGCCCACACTTCCCATTGAAATACTAATAAGTTTATATTTGTTAAAACTGTTCTTAATTTTAGTTATTGTATTGTTTTTAAATGTTTTTTGCACTATAAATAAAATATGTGCAGTGTGAATGGGAATTCATTCATGTTTTTTTTTATTACAATCCGGCCTGCCAATAGTTTGAGGGACTGTGACCTGGCCCTCTGTTTAAAACGTTTGTGGACCCCTGCAATAGAGGAAGCACAAGCACTAAACAATTTAAGACCAAAAACAGGAAACAGCAACCGCTTCTTCCTTGGGGAGGTGGTAAATTGCTGATTCGACATTGGCAATGATGTTTTCTACAGGGATCCTGGTGGTGGTAACAGCAAAATTGCCTCCTTTTGCTAGTATGGATACTTGGTCTTCAGAGAGTTGTCTGTCTGTCAGGTTGACGATGATCCACAGCATATCCAGTTCTGGTTTCAGCTGTTGCTCTTGACTTTTGTGGAATTTTTGTTTTTGTTTATCAGTGTGGAAAGCCATGTCTTTCCCCATTTTTCTGTAGGTGAGGTTGTCTATTTTTTCTCAGTCCTGGGTATTCATCTTTTGGCTGAGAGAGAATTCACACCACCCGCAAAGAACTCGCAAACACAGACAAGGAACTGTTGCACCTCCATATCAACATCAGCCTCATTCGAATCAGCAATTTACTGCCTCCCTGAGGAAGCAGCGGAAGAAGTAAGAGGGGAAACAGCAAGGATCCCAAGAAAGGCAAA